CCGCGTCGAGATCGGCACGCTGAGCAGCGCCACCCGGAGGCGCAAGTGCAGAGAAGCCCCCACCGAGCATGGATCGGCCTCGGAGGTCTAAAGGTGTCGGTCTGAAGGAATGCCGGGCTGTCGCGTGTCGGCTGCTGACCTGTGCAGTCGGATGTGGCCGATTTGTATGAAACTGAATCACAATCTCCTGGACCGACACGCTCCAGGAAGACGGATAGCTCGGCGAAGAATATGCCAGAGTGGCCCGAAAAGCCACCTCTTGATCATGCTCTTCGCGGTCTGCACGTTCCGAAGAGCGAGATCGGGACCATCGCCGGGGCCGTTTCGACTGAGTGGGATGGTAGGGCAGAGGCTTGAGGCGCAGCGACGCCGGCCAGCTGCAACGGAAGCTCGAGAGTCTTTGGACCATCTCGAGCTTGAGGCTTTCCGTGGGAGAAGATGCGATGCGAAAGAAACTAATGTCGAATCTGGAAGAGCACAGAACGAGGGCGGGCGAATGCAGAGCAGCCATGCAGACGTGTGTGGCCGGTGAGAAGGTCCGTGTATCTAGGAATGCCAGCTCGTCGACTTGTGCACCTACGTGTCCCGCAGGCCCACGTCCTTTCAGCGCAAAAAGACCGACGTGTCCGGACGAGTAAGCAACGACGACCGTGGTGACTGAGCCAGCGCTGACCTCGGCTGTCCCCCGGTACTTGCGCTTCCGAGTGTCGGAGGAGACTGAGTTAAGAGCTGTATCAACGGATAGAGCATCGACGGTGATCTCGGTGACGCGGGCGCGATGCAGTTCTGCATCCAGAGGCTGCTGCGACATCAACCTCTGCAGACTCGGCGACGTGAAGCGCGCGATCGGTGTCCTGTCGTGCAAGTCGCCGTGGGACGGAACAGGCGCAGAAGATGAGGCATGTTCGGCGCGCGAAGGAGCATTGTCGCAAGGATAGACGAGGACCTCTGGATCGTCACAAGGCGCAGCGATGAAGATGAAGCTGCTCGACATCCTTACGATCGTGGCTGGGCTTTCAAGCCGCGTGGAGTGCGCCTGTTCTGGCACCGCCTTGGGCGACGGCCCTCCGAACTGGCTTCTGCTGGCAGAGAGCAGTTGGGAGGCGGCAAAGTTGCCATTCTGCCACTTGCTTGACACGCGGTAGATTTGCTCCCAGTCGAGGTGCTGGTCCGCAATCCTGTCTTCCGAGTCGTCCGAACTAAGCGGGTCTCGAGCAGCGTGATCGAGGCCTGGCTGACTTGCATAGAAGCGTTGAGGGATGCGGGCTATCCTATTTAGACCGTCCCCCGGGACGTACTTGCCGATGGGGAGGTGCTGGTGCAGGAGCAAAGATCTGAGTTCGCGCAGTGTCGGAAGAAGGGGGGCGTCTCGAGCACTGTCAAAGCTCCCCGAGGCCAAGGTGGGATGGACAAAAGCGAGGAAGAAGAGACGCTTCCACAGATGGCGGTCCTTTGCAAGCGCACGGAAATGCGAGCTGACCGCCTGGAGACAGACGAGATCCGAGGCATCGAGGTAGCCAAAGATGCGAAGGATCGTCTCGTCCGCGAGCAGGCGATCCATGGTCGACGAGCTTAGCCGCGAGGGCATCGGTGCGGGTCAGAAGGCTGCATGGAGAGCACGCACGCACACGATCGTGCGAGATGAGCGCCGGAGGTGAGGGCGTCTTCAGGTGGTAGCAGGAAGAGAGCCCAGTCTCCCTGCTGCACTGCTTGACGGAGGGTACCGATTGTGAACGCCCGCCGCCGCCACCTGCAGGACAGCCGTGTGGAGACGCGCAAAGTCAAGTTTGTTAGACCGGCGACATGGCTGCGTACGGAAGCAGCCGAATGCGCAGCTACGAGGGGAAAAGTGCGGGAAAAAGAGGGCATGAAAATGGACGACGGTCCATCGAATCTGCATGCTCGAGCCGATAGGGCGCGCTGCTGCTGCTGCTGCTGCTGACTTCACCGGCGGAACGCCAATCCTCCACCGAACATGCGCAGCATCCGTGCGTGCATCCGATGGGCAGCGAGAGCGCCCTTGCCTTTTTTGTGTCTCGCGTGTGCCGGTAGTTCCTGAGCGCCGAGATTGTCCTGACCTTCATCCTCTCATCACCAATCCTCTCAGCAACCCTCGCCAGCACGCCATCCATCGCAGCATCGATCGCACTCAGAAGATCCGTTCATCTGGCGGTCGTGAACCACGCTGGCCGAAAGCGGAGCGGAACTGATCCGATCGCTACATCTCCACCATGTCGCAACATCTCTTGTCCGGGTCACCCGAAGATGACGATCAGCTGCCATCGTTCATCGAGCAGAAGCTCAAGTCGCTCGGATCAGCCGCTTCGACGAGCGCCGGCACACCCGAACGGAAAGATACGCAGTCTCCACCGCCCAACACCCAAGGCCACTCGCACTCGCATCCGCATGCCCATCAGCATCAGCATTCGCACTCGCACTCGCATGCACACAACCACAACCACAACCACTCGCATCCGCACTCGCACTCGCCCAACGCCTCTCAGTCGCGCACCTGGTCGCTCGCCTCGAGCTCGTCGCTCGGCGTTCCCGGTTCATCGCACGATCGGCCGCCGTCCCGGTCCATGTCGCGCACGCCTTCGCACGAATACCGCGAGACGCTCGACGCCAAGAGCAAGGACCTGGAAGACGGATCGAGAATCATCAACCAGTACAAGATCACCGAGGTGATCGGACGCGGCGCCTACGGAACCGTGCGCAAGGCCATCCTCACCGACG